AGCTGCCTCTCATTACAGAACAAATGGAGCTGAAGAGAGGCTGATGTTCCCTATGTATACCGAGCACTTCCTGTTGTCTTCCTGCTACACCCCCCCCCTACAGCCCCCACCCCAGAAACACCACCCTGTGCTGAAGACATATTCCCTACAGACAACCTGAAAAAAGGAATTACATTTTTTTTACTTTGCATAATAGTTTTTGTACGTGTTTTTTTAATTACATTTAATGAGATGATATTTTATTTAAAACTTGTAAACGTATATTTTGAATATATATTTAACATTATTAATTACATTTAAAGTAATTGTCTTTATTCCTTTAATAGTTTATTTACATTTACTGTATTTTATTTTTACACAACATTTAATATGTTGATATTTAAAATGATTAACAACATTTTATTTTATATTCTGTTGTTCTACTTTATTACATTAGAAGTTTTATTATTGAATATTTAATACAATTTGTTTGAAGGATTTCTTATATCTTGGATACACACTACTATACAATTCTCCTTCCCGGTGAAATCAAACCCTGATAATCAAACGAGGTAGTTTGAGTCCTCTCTCCGCCGCTGCTTCTCCTTTCTCGTCACGTTTTTTTTTATCTTCGACTTTGGAGAGTCAGGATCTGAGTTGTTGGCACTCGAGGTTCGGTGGTCAGGGGCTTCAGCGCGCGGAGGCTTTTATAAGAACAACTCATTAACAGACAACCTCCTCGCTGCCTCCCTCCGGCGCTGCGAGTGCCGTTTGGAGAGGCTGCTTTTCTCTTTCAGCCGGCAACACAAAGCCGGGGAAGTCAAGGCTGGTCGCTCTGGGTACTGATTGCATTTTTTCCCCTTTTTTGCCAGAGTGCCTATTCAGACGCAGGGAATGAAAGCTTTACAGACATTAATGAAGCGCTCAACTAACAGTTTTTCTCTTTGTCGACCCCTCCTCCCGCCGGCCGGGGAGGAAGAGGAGCAGCTCTGCATTTGATTGGTTGACTCTGAGGTCAGCGTGGAGAGTTTGGCTGCTTTCTCTTTTAGTTTTTCAGAAAAATAAGCAAGTTGAGGAAGAAAAGCCACAGACAGAAAAACAAGCCTGAAAGATTTTCCACACATTCTGTTAGATTTTCTTCTTTCTTTGAGACAAACAAATGGAGATTCCTGCGCTGACTCCCCCCGCCCGCCCGTCGAGATGTTTATCACCTTCAGATGGTGAAGACTTGATTCTGCTGCTGTCAGTGAGGAGCGATCCATGAGAGGGGCTTCTGTGCTCGGAACAGCTTTCCAGAGAAACACTCTCCAGAGATCTCGTTCGATGTGGAAAAGGCATTTTATTTACCTCCAGAGAACCAGATCTTTATATGAAACAGGCCAATCATATTTAACTTACTCACTTATATTTGATCACATGTGCGTACTCTATCCGTAACACATTTAAATACTTTTCTTATTTGCAATGCATTTCAGTACTTTGCTGTTCTTTCAATCTCTGTTGAGTCCACTCAACTTCCTGCCAACCTTTCACAATAAAAGCTCCAACAGCTCAATAAATAAAACGGCCATTTGTTTTAATACCTTTTTAAGAAAAACATCCTCAACAAAAGAGAAACTCCCTCTGGAGGTAACAGGGATTTTAGCCTTTGCAGACCATTTACATGCACTAAAACCTATGGAACACACTACAGGAAAAGGATCTCCCACAGAAGCACAATAGGGCCTCTTTATAGAAGATTGTTGTTCAGTAAACACATTTCAAAAGTGTTTGGCATTAGCGACGTCACATTAGATGCTAGCAGTCGAAGGGCCTGGTTCTTCTTTAAATCTTGCAACATTAGCTGGTCACCAGCTTGAGCTTCAATGTCCATATATTTATTATCCTCTCAAGAAAGGAAGTATTCAAAACAAAATAAGACTTTTTCTCAAAAAATCTGACTTTTTCTCAAAAATTTCTAAATTCTGAATTTGTTCTCAAAATAAAAAAATGCTGTCTTTTTCTGAATACTTCTAAATGCTAATAATCCCTGGTCCCCGGCTTGAGCTTCAACCTCAGGATCCATGTATCTGTGATCCTCTCCAGAATGGAAGGAGTCATCACATACAGAGCATCAGCTAATTCCTGAACAGTGTCCTTCACATGCTGATATCCAAGAGAGGGAGTTACACAGTCACAAGATGGAGGAGTAGAAAGCAGTCTTCAATGTTTACTTCAGATTAGCTCCACGTCAGAAATGAGCATGCTTGATGTCTCTCTCCATAGAGGCTGAATCATCATGTTAATCACATAGCTATCATATGCCTCAAACAGTCCTGATGCTCTTCTAGGTAATCACACATCCTGTCATGTTCACAGCTACAGTTGGGGTACCTTTGTTATCATGTCACTCTCATACTGGAAGAGGACATTCAGTGTTTTCCCAGCAGTAGTTAACTCTTTGAAACGCTTTGTTTGGTGGGTTTTGAAGAAGCGTGGGCTCTTCTCTCTAAAGTGACTGCTCTCCTGTTCCTCTCAGGCCTGACGGGATGGGCACGGTGACGCTGGAGGAGAAGGATCAGTTCGAGGCCGTCAGGAGTCGCCTCATGGCTCTGCTGGAGAACCAGATCACTCACTTCAGGTACCAACACCGTCACAATCACACAACTACACACAACTACACACATACTGAGCAGACTGAGTCACCTACAACCACAGGAAACGGTCTCTCTCTTCTCTCTAGTTGTATCACCATGGGTTTTATTATCAGGTTGGGAGATATCTTCCTCCAGCTAAATATAATAGTGGCGGTAGTGGCGAAGTCTATAGGGACTTGGCCTGGCAACTGGAAAGGTCACCAGTTCAAGTCCCACGAGGTGTCCGTGAGCAAGGCACACTGCTCCCCGGGCGCCGTACACAATGGCACTGCTCCTAACACTAGGATGGGTCGAATGCAGAGAAACCGTTTCGTTACATAGTGCCTATACTACGTGATGACAATAAGTTGAATCTTCAATCTTCTTCAATAAGGGATGTAGACATTTGGTGCGCTCAAAAGAAATCACATACAACCCACCGCCACCCACAGGAAACTGTCTCTTTGCTCTATAGAGAAAAATCCATGGGTGTTATTATCGTTATACACGTTGGGAGATATCGTCCTCCAGCTAAATGTAAGGGACATTTACTCTGTGCTGCTCAAAGAAATCCCATTCGACCTCCAAATCTTCGTCAGTAATGCCCGTTCTCCGGCTCGGAGCTGGAGCCTGAAAAGTACCGGTTTTTCCTGTTCACACCGCAGAGGCGCCGCCTCTTAGCTCCGGAATCCGGTTCACTTCCAGCTCCAAAAAATTGTCGGTCTAGAGGCAAGAGCTTCGCTTACGTCTCTCTTACGTCGAGGCGGGGGCAGGGGCAGATTCGTCGTTGATGCTGAAGACCACAAAGAAATCTTGCATTTCGCATGTGATGTTTGTAAAGTTCCAAGTAAAGTCGTCCCTTGTAAAGTCGTCCGATGCCTTCCATGTCGTTTCGTAAGAGGATAACCAAAGCGAACAGCGCTTCAATACAATCGGCCATTGTTGTTGTTGTCGATGTGAGGGATTTCCGCGCGGTTTGGATTTATGAAGCAGGCACGTAAACGGTGACGTCATGACGCAGCAGCGGCAGCTCTGGGCGGTGTGAACAGAGCGGGAGCAGAGAAGAGAAACCGGAGCTGAACCAGAAAAGCTCCCGCTCGGAGCTAGAAAGGGAAAAGCGCTGGTGTGAAAGCCGCATGAGACACCACTTTGTGATTCATAACAAATAGAAATAAACCACTAGCTCAATAAAACCAAAGGATAACTCCCTTCCCTTTTTATCAAGGCTTTCCTAATCTCTATTTGTAATCAAATGTTTCTCTTATGTCCTTTATATAATATGTGGCATTTCTGGAGGAGCACGGGACATCAGATGTCCACTGCCATAACTCCACTGTAGCTACTGTGTGTACGATAATCAAACCCTTGAAGATGAACCACTACAGCGGGAACAAAGACAACAGGTTCTTGTTTTCTGTTGGATTAACTGACCCTTTAATGCATTGATTAGTGCTGCTTCCCCTCATGAGGATAATGTGATGTTAATGGGTAACACAACATGAGTCAGATAATATATTCCTCATGAAACAAAAGGGAGATAAAAGCTGAATAAAAACATGGGAGACCTCTGAAACACATTAGCTGAACGCCCCACTGTCATGTAGAGTGATTTTGAAGCAAACCACAACATGTCAAAACCACCAGCCTGCTCCTTTACCTCCACCATAAAGGATTCTGGGTATTTTTATCCCCTCAGCAGCACAACAGGTGCAGACCTCCCTGCATCTGCGTGTGAACACATTGTGAGCCGGTGTGAAAGCTGCAGACCTTGAGCAGCCCTCGTCTGAAAGGAGGCGGCCATTAACCGTGCTGAAGCCCGTCTTTACACTCCTTCACGCCTGAGAGGGGCCTCCATCTGCCCGAGAGCAGGGGAGGGGCGAGTCATTACCAACTCACCTCAACAAGAGGCTAATGCTGCTAAACAATGGCCGGGACAATGCTGGGATTATGCTAATGTCCCCCCTCCCAGACAAGAGCAAGACTTCCACAGTTTAGTTTAGATTAAAGCCACGGATGAATTGAAGGTTATACGTTTAAACTACAGATGCTCCTCCAAGCGGTGTTATTGTTTCTCAATCAGGAGGGAGATTATCTGCAGATTACCTCATCACACTTTGGTAATTATTCATTTTAACCAACCAACAGTCAAAGCTCACAGTTTAAGATGAACCTGGAGGAAGTTGTTTGTTTTGGAGCCTGAGACACCAGACAACCAACACAGGGCCGCACTGAGGTAGATGTGCTCCTTTACCACAGGTGTGTTAGACTTGGTCTATATTCGCCATAGTGTCCCTGGGGGACCTGAGCCAAGATGCATGTATTTTGCATCATTGTTGGGGGTTTTCCCTCCCTTTGTGTGCATGTAAATGGTCTGCAGAGGCTAAAATCCCTCGGCTCCGTTTCGGCTTCGTGCGGACGCACCGTCTATACCAGGGGTGCCCACACCTGTTCAGCTTGGGAGCTACTTTTAAAATGACCAAGTCAAAGTGATCTACCTACAGGGCCGCCCCTGCCCAAAGTCATGTGGTGAGGCCCTCTGTGTCGCGAGCGGGGGGGGGGGGGGGGGGGGGGCATTTGCGCCGCATTTGCCCTCTGCGAGGTGAGGTCCCACGCAGCCTGCGTCTGTCTGTCTACCTACATTAAGAATGCTAAGTATACCTTATGTTGGTGTACCTTGCATAACTGCATGACCCCGTATGGCACAATGCAACTCAGTACATTTTTGGTCATTACGTCAATGTTATACCCTAACTAATCAGCTCATGCGTGGTGAACTGCGTGTTAGACAAGATGAGATCTCAGACTGGCTTACCTTTACGTCAATCAAGTGGCAAATGCCACAGTAAGGATGGATGATAGGCTAACTTTTTTAATTAAAAATTGTTTTCAATGCCATGCGATCTACCAACTCGCGATCGACGTATTGGGCGCCCCTGGTCTATACGATAGAGAACGTTAGCGGTTTCAACTGATATCGTCTCCGTGTGGACGGGGCCTAAGAGGCGGGACATCTTCAAGCAATCACAGCAGAGCCGGCCAGTTAGCCAATCAGACATCAATGTAACAGTAATCTGATAACATATGCATGTTTAATGTAAATACAGTTACATTTGATTTTATCCTAATTATCCCCTTAAATGTAATCTGTTACCCCCAAGCTTTTTATTAATTATACTATGGAGGTTAAACTCTTCTCAATATGCTCCAAACTTGTGCCCTCCGTATGTGTCGCCTATAGGTGCTGAAAGAGAGAGTGGACAATGGCTCTGAAGTACACTCATTTATCTCTCTGTTCACACACACACTGACACACACACACACACACACACACACACACACACACACACACACACACACACACACACACACACACACACACACACACACACACACACACACCTCAATTCACTTCAACCCAAACATGTTTGACTGGTATTCATTTGAGCGATACATGACTTACAAACATAACGGCGTCCTTTCAATGACGCCAAACCATCTGTAGTCATGTCTATATATCTATTATTAACTGAATGCAATTGCCAGGCCCATTTTCACTTCTAAAAGGATTAGATTCTGTGTGTGCAGCACTCAACAAGAGGAAGGTCAAGAGCAAACAATACAGAAAATACAATCAAAGTTTGAACAAGGTGCCGTGTTGAATGTATACTACAGGAAACAGCAGCAAGTGCAGAAGTACTCACACGGTGAAGAGTTCACAGCAAAGTGAATACGTGCACTTCACATGGAAACTGATGACAATATATAATAGAGTAATAACCTTTGACCCATCAGCCTTTAGTGGAAACTCTTTATTCTTAAATGCAGAACTCTTACAGACGAGTTCATGACTTTCTGAACGTTTGTATAACTGTTAAAGGTTCCATGTTTGGAGAGTCTCTGGGTAACGAAAAGGTCACGGTCTGTGTTAAATACAACCTGTATGAATCTGAGAAGTATTTAAATTAAAACCATGAACTGTCTTTACCTACTGATTATCATCCAGGCAGGGAATCAAGTTTCAGGCTAAACTAAATAGTATAATTTAAATGTCAAAGACAGTTATGTGACCCTGGTGTGTGTCAGTGTGAAAGCCTTAATAATTTAATGTCTGGGTAAAAAACACCTCAGTTACTTTAACAATGTGCAGCAAATACATGACTGTGGCGTCAAACTAATTACTGACTAAATCGTTTTTTCTGTATAATCTGATTTAATGAATTAAATATTTCAATAATTTATAATATATCATTTTATATGACAGTATTTCTTCTGCTTTTTCTGCTTAATGTGATTTAAAAACTCCTGAAATAGTTCCACTGAAGTCCCTCATGCATCCATATGGCATTCTTTAAAGGTCACCTATCGTGCTATTTGTAGACAAAGGATGGGTCTCAGATATATACACATATATTAAAAACATGTCTATGAAGTGTTTTGCTCAAAACACCAAACAGATCATTCTAGCCATGCCTCATATCCCTCTATTTCACTTCCTGTTTCAAAAGTGTTGATTTGGGTATAAAGCTTTAAAGAGGAGGGTCTGAGCTCATGCGGGACCCGGCAGCTACTGTCTAAACTAAATGCTGCCGTGATGAAACGCCATATCATGGATTATCAAGGATTCTCTCTGAAACAGTCTGGAGCTCAAAGGCTTTCTCTCTTGCCGGTTATACCACAAGGTGAGTTCCTTTTTACTTCCTGCTTCTTCACACACATGCTCTCCAGTACAGGTTAGCTCTGAGTGTTAGCGATGCTAATGTAAACACCGACCATATTACGTCCAAAACAGTCGGGCATTGTTTCTGATAGCAACGTTCTGATTGGGCCGTGGGTCCACATTTCAGATATTACGTCACATCGGACGCAAATCTGGATCAGCTCCGTTGTTCCCCGTTTTTAGAGATTTGGGTACGGAGGAAAAGAGAGAGGGTTTTATTTCCTGACGCTGCGTGAGTTCCCCGACACACCGGGGACACATAGTGATGGAGAGAAGACATCACAAAGTGCATTTTACATAATAGGTCCCCTTTAAATAATATCAAATATTTTACACGTTTTGGTCGATCCTCGAAACAAAATTACCTTTATAGAAAATAGTTATCTTTAAAAAAAATTACTTTTCAAATTCTGTCTTTTTTTGTTGTTGCCATTATACCTTTTTTCAGTTTTGATTTGAATTTGATTCATTATTCTTAATATTCTGTAAATAATATCAATGTGCACACAGTGTTTTGAAAGCCTTTCAAACATTAATCAAGAACAATTCCACATGTCTAATTAAATGAACACCAACCCCCCCCCCCCCCCCCCCCCCCCCCCCCCCCCGGAGACCTTTCCTGAAGTTGGAGCTGATTCTTCAAACTCCTTCGTTTTCCATCCTTACACTTATTTATATTTCCTCCTGAGAGTGGAGAAGCAGAACATCTGTCTGTGTGTTTACGGTCTGACCTGCCTTTGTTTATTTAGCTGTGTTCACTTGTCAATTAGCGACATGAAACTCCCCGATCCTCTTCGTCTTTGCCGAGGTGAGAACTCTTCTTCATCGGAGTAATTAGAAGAAAGCAGGCGGCCATCTGCTGACGTCTTCCTGCCGCCTCCATCTTCCTGTTCTGTTTGTCCTTCAGGTTGTTTCTAAGTGTAACGACGCCCACGTTCTACATCTGATTTACAGGTACTGCTTCCCCTTCGGACGACCAGATGGGGCCCTGAAGGCAACGCTGTCCCTGCAGGAGCGGGTACATTTAAATACTTAAGCATCGTTAAATATGTCTGTACACTGACTTTAGATCTGTTAACATGTCTCCTTCAAAGGGGGGTTCGTTTAGCATGAAACACAGAGTGAGTTAAAGGTCCCCTATTATACTGTCTTTCATCAATATATGACAGGTCTCAGATATATCCAGAGCCTGTCTCTGATTGGCTGAAACACCAAACAGATCATTGCAGCATTACCCATAATCCCCTCTGTTTCAGCCCTGTTTCCAAAGTGCTGATTCTCTGGGGGGGGGGTTACCTTGGTTGGTGATTGGCTAATGGTCCTGAAACTTTCAGAGTCTCTTTCCACAGAGGGGACACATGTTGATGTAGAAGAGACATGAAGAAGAGGGGACACATGTTGATGTAGAAGAGACATGAAGAAGAGGGGACACATGTTGATGTAGGAGAGACATGAAGAAGAGGGGACACATGTTGATGTAGAAGAGACATGAAGAAGAGGGGACACATGTTGATGTAGAAGAGACATGAAGAAGAGGGGACACATGTTGATGTAGAAGAGACATGAAGAAGAGGGGACACATGTTGATGTAGAAGAGACATGAAGAAGAGGGGACACATGTTGATGTAGAAGAGACATGGAGAAGAGGGGACACATGTTGATGTAGAAGAGACGTGAAGAAGAGGGGACACATGTTGATGTAGAAGAGACATGAAGAAGAGGGGACACATGTTGATGTAGAAGAGACATGAAGAAGAGGGGACACATGTTGATGTAGAAGAGACATGAAGAAGAGGGGACACGTGTTGATGTAGAAGAGACATGAAGAAGAGGGGACACGTGTTGATGTAGAAGAGACATGAAGAAGAGGGGACACGTGTTTGATGTAGAAGAGACATGAAGAAGAGGGGACACGTGTTGATGTAGAAGAGACATGAAGAAGAGGGGACACGTGTTGATGTAGAAGAGACATGAAGAAGAGGGGACACGTGTTGATGTAGAAGAGACATGAAGAAGAGGGGACACATGTTGATGTAGAAGAGACATGAAGAAGAGGGGACACATGTTGATGTAGAAGAGACATGAAGAAGAGGGGACACGTGTTGATGTAGAAGAGACATGAAGAAGAGGGGACACATGTTGATGTAGAAGAGACATGAAGAAGAGGGGACACGTGTTGATGTAGAAGAGACATGGAGAAGAGAGGACACATGTTGATGTAGAAGAGACATGAAGAAGAGGGGACACATGTTGATGTAGAAGAGACATGAAGAAGAGGGGACACATGTTGATGTAGAAGAGACATGAAGAAGAGGGGACACATGTTGATATAGAAGAGACATGGAGAAGAGAGGACACATGTTGATGTAGAAGAGACATGAAGAAGAGGGGACACATGTTGATGTAGAAGAGACATGAAGAAGAGGGGACACATGTTGATGTAGAAGAGACATGGAGAAGAGGGGACACATGTTGATATAGAAGAGACATGGAGAAGAGGGGACACATGTTGATATAGAAGAGACATGGAGAAGAGAGGACACATGTTGATGTAGAAGAGTCATGGAGAAGAGAGGACACATGTTGATGTATAAGAGACATGAAGAAGAGGGGACACATGTTGATGTAGAAGAGACATGGAGAAGAGGGGACACATGTTGATATAGAAGAGACATGGAGAAGAGGGGACACATGTTGATATAGAAGAGACATGGAGAAGAGAGGACACATGTTGATGTAGAAGAGACATGAAGAAGAGGGGACACATGTTGATGTAGAAGAGACATGAAGAAGAGGGGACACATGTTGATGTAGAAGAGACATGAAGAAGAGGGGACACATGTTGATGTAGAAGAGACATGAAGAAGAGGGGACACATGTTGATGTAGAAGAGACATGGAGAAGAGGGGACACATGTTGATGTAGAAGAGACATGAAGAAGAGGGGACACATGTTGATGTAGAAGAGACATGAAGAAGAGGGGACACATGTTGATATAGAAGAGACATGGAGAAGAGGGGACACATGTTGATATAGAAGAGACATGGAGAAGAGAGGACACATGTTGATGTAGAAGAGACATGAAGAAGAGGGGACACATGTTGAGTTGCCTTGTGTTGAAAGGTGCAGCAATGAAACCCAGGACTGAAAACCTTCAGCGTCGGTTGGACCTGAGAGTTCTTCAGTTTCCTCTCCCTGTCGCTCCAAACTACTAAATGTGAAATCCAGCATTCATATATGTTATATAATAATGAACCACTGCCTATCTTCTTTATTTGAACTTCTTTAATTTTTATTTTATCGATTTGATTGCACATTTTAACTTAAAACAAAAATAATATTTATGTTAATATATATTTTTTTTTCCTAAATTGAGCAACTGTCTCAAAGTTAGATTTAATAATATGTAATAGAGTATTGCTCTTTCAAAATGAATTAAATACATAAAGTATTCTGATTCTAATCAAGTGTCACCTCTCCTATATGTATTGTACGTCTCCGTCTTCCCGTCCTGCTGTATTTGCATTCTGTGTCTCTGCATATTCAAACGAGCCGTCTCCAATTAGTTTGAATCAGACTGAGAAAGTAGGGCCGACCTTCTTGGCCATCAGCGAGTGATTTCCTTCTCAAAGAATGCCTGATATCAGCAAACAAATCAACTTGTTGTGTGTTCTGTATCGCTGGCTGATTCCTCTTCTCTGATATGTGTTTCTTGTTGTTGTTTGTGTTGTTGTTGTTGTCCAGGTGCTGATGAAGGACATCACCACTCCGGTCCCTCCGGAGGAGATGAAGAAGCTGGTGCAGAGGTGTCTGGAGAACGCAGCTCAGATCAACTACAGCCAGCTGATGGAGTACGCTCAGATCACAGGTCAGACCTTACACTGTATCATAGCAACTGAACACACAAAGTAAGGACTTTGGTGTTTGGTAGATTATTTCATTTGTGAGGAACATGCATTTGTGGGATGAGCAGCAGAGCTGAGTATGTGACAAATCTCCTCTGCCACACAGCTGATTTTTGCTGTTGACTCTTGGTTGGTTGCGTTTGGTGGATTGGATGATTGTCCCTAACCCACCCCACAAATGCATGTTCCTCAAAAATGTGGCACCATTTGAAAGGTAAGTAAACAGGCTTTCCAACGGTATAAGATGTATCGCCAAGAAGCATTACCAAACACAAATGTCCTTACTTTTTGTGTTAAAGGGGACCTATCATGCAAAATGCACTTGTTGATGTCTTCTCTCCATCACCATGTGTCCCCGGTGTGTCGGGGAACTCACGCAGCGTCAGGAAATAAAACCCTCTCTCTTTTCCTCCGTACCCAAATCTCTAAAAACGGGGAACAACGGAGCTGATCCAGATTTGCGTCCGATATGACGTAATATCTGAAATGTGGACCCACGGCCCAATCAGAAACGTTGCTATCAGAAACAATGCCCGACTGTTCTGGACGTAATGGTCGGTGTTTACATTAGCATCGCTAACACTCAGAGCTAACCTGTACTGGAGAGCATGTGTGTGAAGAAGCAGGAAGTAAAAAGGAACTCACCTTGTGGTATAACCGGCAAGAGAGAAAGCCTTTGAGCTCCAAACTGTTTCAGAGAGAATCCTTGATAATCCATGATATGGCCTTTCATCACGGCAGCATTTAGTTTAGACAGTAGCTGCCGGGTCCCGCATGAGCTCAGACCCCTCCTCTTTAAAGCTTTATACCCCAAATCAGCGCTTTAGAAACAGGAAGTGAAATAGAGGGATATGAGGCATGGCTAGAATGTTCTGTTTGGTGTTTTGAGCAAAACACTTCATAGACATGTTTTTAATATATGTGCATATATCTGAGACCCATCCTTTGTCTACAAATAGCATGATAGGTGACCTTTAAGTTTATATATATGTAACCTTCACATGACTCCACATCACTCTGTGGTGCTACATACAAACCTATAATATCCCAGAAACCAACGTGATTTCATGGCAAGCCCTTTTACGCCACTTTTAAGAACACTTCCTGTTTGATGTCATGCATTTGAAGCTTCGTGCGTGCATCTAACGCCCTGTTTTTATTCCCAACTCGTCATTTACTGACACGGTTTTTAAACATGTGGTGAACTTTGTCTTAAATGGTTACAAGGTTAGGAAAAGATCACAATTTGGTTTAAAACAAAGTATAGCCGTTACGTATTCAATGTAAATAAGTCAGCTGTTTGGATTTGGCAGTCTTCTGCGTTAGAGTTGTCGTCACCTGAAAGTACCGAGAGTTAAATCTCTGCATCTTAAAATGAAATGCATTTACAAGTGAAAGGGTTGGCCGTGTTGTTCATGCACTTTGGTGATGTTAATAAGGTTGTTTTAAAACACCTCTTCATGTCGTGCTGTTAGTGATTCAAACCTGTCAGAGGGATCTTTGAAATCTAAAGGGTTCATCCTCTGAGGAGCAGGATATCTCAAGCATTCAGCGCTTAAAAGGGGTTCAATGGGGCGGCGAGAGTTCAAGGTTCAAGGCTTTTGTTGTCACGTGTGCTCAGTGCCGATATGACAATGAACATCTGAGGTCACAGGCTCCTCCCACAGAGCAACACAGAAATAGAAGAAGAGTCTATAGACAAGTCATTGGGATATTGATAAGTTGCAAAAGATGAATGTTATGGATGTTGTTTCAAAGGTCAGGTGTTTAACGGTCTGATGGCCCGTGGGATGAAACTGTCCCTGAGTCTGGTGGTTTTAGGAAGCTGAGGATTATGGGAGTTGTAGTTGTGTATTAACTGAGTGTGTTCCCCCCTCTGTGTGTGGGACCCTCAGTGGACCCTCAGGCCGCTCCGGAGAAGCGTCTGGAGGACATGCTGCGCCTCGGAGAGCTCTGTGTGGAGGTCCTGACGCAGAACGAGGAGCACCACGCAGAGGTACCACGCTGTTCAGAACCACTGAGGAACCATCGGACAGGGCCTGGAGGACAACTGTAGTCTATTTCATATCACACCCTGCCCAAATAATCTAGTGTGGGGAGAAGTAATTAGATCCTTCACTTAAGTAAAAGGGCTGTAAAAATACTCAGTTAAAAAACCTAATCACGTAAATGTGCCTAAAGTATTCAAAGCCATAGTGTTTGCAGACGATCCCTCACCAGCAACTCAAACTGAAATGGAGATGATTAAACCGGAAGTTATGCAAAACAGCACAGGGATAATGTTGTTGTGATTTCCCATTGCTTTTTTTATTTAGCACTATTTTTTGATTAGTTATTTTAAATAAAATATGCATAGTCCCCAATAAAGAGGGGCAAACCTGAGTCTCCTGGATAAACCAAAGATACAAATACTCCAAGTTCAAAGAACCGTCTCCAGCGTAATCATGAACATGTACTAAAAGTATTTAAGTAGTAGAACCTTTATTTATCCAGGAAATTCAATTCAGAACATTCGATACTTGATACAAAGTCATTTAAAGCGAGTGTTTGCAGACGATCCCTCGCTGCTGGAAAACATTTCTAAAAGTTAAATGATCCAATGTATGAATGAATTGATACTTTATGTACTTCCAGTCTTCTTCTCCTTATGTTGAATATTCTTGATTTTAAAACCAGAAACTAAAACTAATAAAAGTAGAAAGTGGCATTAAAACAAAATGATCAGATACACAATGAGATCCAAAGCAAACATGTTTGTTCCCTGACTCCTTATACAACAGTATCATCAGTGACTTTAAATACTATATGCGTGTACAATATATACTTTAATACAAAAGGGCGATGCTGTCTTTGAGCCCCCGGGTAAACCAATTGATTAAGATATAATACACTTGGGAAAGTTCATATTTGCTAAGTATCTCTATTTCCCTCTGTATCTCCTCTTCCTCTCTCTCTTCCTCGTCCTCTCTCTCTTCCTCTTCCTCTCTCCCCCCCGCTGTGATTGACAGCCGCAGCGTCTCTTGATCATTTCATTAACTTTTTTGATCACTTTTCGCCTCACTGTCCATTTGTTTTCCTCCTCCCCCGCTCGCTAAGTGGCGGCTGACACAGGAAGTGGCGCTGCTGATTCCTGCTCCCTGAACACACCACGAACACACCACGAACACACCACGAACACACCGCCCACGGCCCATATGCAAACGCCGCGGTGTTCAACTGATCAATCATAGGTGTTGAGACGGAGGCATCTGTTTCTCACATTAATAACACGCCGCTGCCATGGAGACCGCGCGTCTCTGCCCCGCGATGCTAACCACAAATTAGAGGCTTTTTACCACAAGCTGTCACAGATTAAATATAGATATGATTCATAATTGTTTACTCGGTGACTGTCACGTCCTCGCTCCACTCCGTGTTGGTTTCTCTCAGTGGTTCCTCTCGAAGAAGAAGAAGAAGAAGAAGAAGAAGAGAAGAAGAAGAAGAAGAAGAAGAAGAAGAAGAAGAAGAAGAAGAAGAAGAAGAAGAAGAAGAAGAAGAAGAAGAAGAAGAAGAAGAAGAAGAAGAAGAAGAAGAAGAAGAAGAAGAAGAAGAAGAAGAAGAAGAAGAAGAAGAAGAAGACCCTGTGTTCTACTGACTTGATAGAAAGTCAGTTCCTCACAGATAGTTGGAACAGCTGTTCCGTCCTTGTGACAGAACAGCTGTTCCGTCCTTGTGACAGAACAGCTGTTCCGTCATAGTGTCAGTCCCACATCATATCTAATAGCAATATCAGTCTGTATAATCAAAATGAGTTTGTCTAAGTCGTGCTGACCTCCTCTGGAAGTTTGCACATTTCTTTGGACCCTGATTGGCTCAAAACTCGTGATGTCACAAACTCCCGCTGCTCCGTACTCAAAGTCAAAGTAGAAGCGCTCGTCCTAAACGAACCCAATACGTCAGAAACTCAACATCATCCCAAACGGTTTTATTGACATTAGACTTGTTGTTATTTCTCTGTCCTCTCTGTGTCTCTGGACTCCGCCGTGGGAAGGGCAGAGAGGTGAGTGTCTGTGTCTCTGATACCCATCCTGTTCTGCATGCAGCATTGCCAAACGTGACCTGCTTCTCGAGTCATGTCCTCGCTGTGTGTCCTGGGAGTTATATTACTACTTCAGAACATCCGTCACCATGTCGGTGTTTCCATAGTTTCTGTTGGACTTTAAGTTGCACGTTTTAGATGATATTGTTCTCGTTTTCCACCCACTCGTTTCTGACTGCACTCCATTGACCGGAGAGTGCTGCCGTATATCTCAGCTTGGTCCCGATGCAGAGGACCCGGTTCAAACCT